TGGTTGAGAGTCCGCCTGCCGATGCATGGGACACGGGTTCATGCCCCGGTCCGGGAAGATCCCACATGCCGCGGAGCAGCTGGGCCCGTGAGCCATGGCCACTGGGCCTGCGTGTCCGGAACCTGTGCTCCGCGGCGGGAGAGGCCGCAACGGTGAGAGGCCCACGTACCGCCAAAACAAAACAGAACAAAACAAAACAAAAAAACAACAGGGCAAGATTTCATGCCAGGTCATCTGATGACCGAGTCCAACCACTTGATCATTATAGGGGTCGCTGATGATAATGCTCATTTGCCCTTTATTTGAGCAGGGGGGCCTCTTAATTCTTGGTTCGTGCTCTCACTCCCACCTGCCTGCCTTGGCCACAGGGATTTACATTGTGGCTTCTTGTTCAGGGCTACACTCTCTTCTAATCCTCACCAAATTCCTAGCCTGTTTCTTCCAGTGCTTTTTAAAATATGGTAAACAGTGACTCACTGAGAAGCTAGGCCCCAGATTCTAGGGCTGCAAAGACATGTATCTTTCCTGGGGTATAAGAAAGACTTTGTCTTTAGAGAGATAACTAACATTCCCCTTCCAACCGATCCCATCTCCAAGACTGGAAAGCATGCTTTTAGTAAAAATCAGTTGAATTTTTTAATTTTGTTACATTAAATTCTTAAACCTCATGTTACCCACAGACTTCACTACTGGCTGCCTGGAAGACACCATCCTTTGCTTCAAGACCTTATATTGCCCAAATGACAGCTATTGCTTCAAGCTAGGCTTAAATATAAGCACAAGGTACGAAGATGGCATAAGATAATCAACTTAATCTAATTTATGCAAGGTGGTAGGCAATTATTGTTTTTCGAAGTGAGCTATATGATTACTGATTGATTTTATGGTGTTATAATATTTTGTATTTCTGTAACAGTTCACTTTAGCTGGGCTGTCCTGTCAATTTGGAATGTTAGTCCCTTAAGTGAACCAAATCAGGTTATCCTGGCTCCTTAGCTGGACCTAATATAGCCTTAACATTCATCATTTGGCATTTGACAATGAAATGTGGGTATTTGCATAATGTAATTTTGATACTTTTTAAGTTCCCATGTGAAGATTCTTTCATTATCATATTTTGTTATAGATTTCAGAATGGTTATATTTATATGATATCCTTTACCATTTAGAATAATAACTAGGGAAAATACATAAATACTCCAGTAAATTCTCTTTAAAAAAAGTCATATTTCATGCAGTGAAGATTACACAATGGTATTTTGAATTGAGGATCCTTAATGCAAATTCAAACACACTACAAATTGTAGGTTGTTACAGTCAATGGGTGACAACATACCTCTCAATAGATAAAATACCCTGTGTTTTATTTGGTTGTTAGACTCATTTTGGAGCTAAATGGTTTTTGTGTTGCCGTCTACTTGTAGGAAAACTTATAGACGTTACAAAACATTTTACCTGGCTTTTTATAGAAGTGAACACACTGGTTAGCCGAGGCTGATAGAAGTCTGGATCATTTTTCTATATTTCTAAATCTGAAGTAATTCTAATGCCCCCCAAAATATGTCAAAGCAAGGCATTAGAAAAAAGATAATCCTCCCCCCACCCCCAAATTTTAATCCCCATAAAAACTAAGCTATAGGTACAAGTTGCAAGTTGCTATATGGTCATAGCAATCTAAGAGTAAGAGAGAGAAACAAAACTTTGCTGTGTCCCTGAAGTCCTTGGCAGTCTCGAGGGAGCTGACAGATGTTGGAGACAGGATTTCAAAGCTAATGTGAGCGCTTCTACATTTTTATATTTATTGCTGGGCCTTCGGTTTAATTAGTACTATTTCCTGCCCTTCTGGATCTCACATGTCCCCAAACTTTCCTAGCTTTGGTGTTAGTCTCTGCATCCTCCCATCTGATTCCCCCTATATTTTCTTCTTGCCCTAGATCCTGGGCTGTTCTAACTCCATGTTAGTGGGGGTGGATCGACCTGGCCCCAAAGCTCCAGGTTCTGATTTTTGAATTAAGAGAATAGCTCTGTTATTTCTGATGGGAAGGAAACTCCCTGACCCGCCCAACCCTGTCCTCAGCAGCTGGGGTGTCTGTCTTGGGAAGGCCTTGATGACACCTCAGGCCTTCTGTTGCCCTTTCCTGGCTAGAGATACTTCTGCTGCCGAGGCGGTTAATTCATCAGGCTGGAGCCCAGTGGGTTCTCTGGCCCAAGGAAACACTAGCATCCCGACCAGATGGCTCTTGGCTTCATCTAAGCCGCAAACTCGCAACAGTAGGTTTACCAGCTGTGTGACCTTCAGCAAGTTTCTTAATCTCTCTGTGTTTAATTTTTCTATTCTGCAAAATGAGGCTAATAATAGCACCTTCCTTACACTGCTGTTTTGAAGATCAAATGTGTTACTATTTGTGAAGCATTTGAACAGTGCCTAACATAAAATAAATCCTATATGAAAGTTTGTTAAAAAAAATAAAAACAAACAAAAGAGCATTAGGATATGCCACTCCAAAATATGTCTCTTTGGCTTAAGGATTATTTTGAGCTGATTATTTTTGAGAAACTGGAGACACTGGAGAAGCTCAGAAAATAGAAATTTATCTTTTGTAAGGGACATTGGCACTTATAAAGGAGATCTCCCTTTGTAAGGGTGTCTCCCTCTCTGTACCAGGAAGAGAAAGATAACTGTAAAACATAACAGAATCTTGTCAATGGAGAAGGCAGCCACTTAAATCTGCATAACATACCATACCCTCATTTACTGTGCTTTTCCTGGAAACCTCTAACTGGCCTCCTCTGTTCCACCCCCAGCACACATCTTTCTCTTTTGTCTTTAGCTGGAGATGATATTTACGGGAGTGGCTTAGGCCATCTTAGGGAGTTACTAGGTTTCCCTGGGTCTCTCCCATGTATACATGAGGCATACTTGTTAAATTAATTAGACAAGGAGGCCATTGGACTAATGTGGCTCTAGTGCCTGGTGGCCTACATAAGCTAACCAAAATAAAAGCCTATATATTCCTCATGCTTCCGAGATCAAAATGCTAAGGACAGCCAGTCACAAACAGCCAACTAGGTTTTAAGCTGTAGTCAATCAATAATTTCCTTACTTTGCTTCTGCCTTTTCTCTATAAAAGTCTCCCCATTTCCTGCCCCATATAGTGCTCCTAGCCACTTCCGGTTTAACATTATCCAGTTAGAATCGATTTTTGCTCAAAAAAAACTCTTAAAATTTTTAATATACCTCAATTTACCTTTTAACCACATATTAAGAAACGTCTGTTCCCTTTTCTCTTGTTAATCTATCTTTTATTACAGGGATCTCAGACAAGAACTCAGAAGAAGGTAGAGGGAAAGTTAATTTTCCTCCTGTGCAGAAACAAACAAACAAATAATCAGTGTGTTGGGTAGAGAAGAGTTAGTGATGACAAGGGAGAGAATTCTAAGATCATAGAGATGAATTCTAAGATCATAGAGGGGATGAGACCAGAGTGCCTTGTATTTGTCGTCCCTGATATAGACCCTAATGCATTCAGCCCTAGACACAGGTTTGAAGATGATAAATGTGCAATTACTCTCAAACCTCTATTCTTCTTCCCTTTAGAAAAGATCTTAAATGTATTCTCTAGGGAGTAACATTTATTCATTTATTCAACAGTAATTTTTTTTCTCTATTCAGTGCCTACTTATTTCAAGGCAGATGCTACATGCTGGGGACACATGTAAGTAAGTTAACCATGGTCCCTGCCCAGATAAGGCTTAGATTCTAGTTGGTGAGAGACATTATGCAGATAACTGTGCAATTATTTATTTAATCACAACTGTGAAGAGCACTCTGAAGGAGAAAGATAATGTGTAACAGGAGTCCCATCCTAATCCTGTGGGTCAGGGAAAGTGTCTTGAAAGAAATGGTATTTCAGAGGAGCTGGTTAGGCCAGGGGTTTGGCCTTGAGGAAGAGAAGGGCGTTCCAAGCTGAGGGAGCAACATGGGCAAAGGCTCTGGAATCATTTTGCACTAGATGAGATTCAACAAAGAAAAGAATTAATGTCTTACTTTAAGAAGGAAGGAATGGTAGGTGGCAGATGTTTTATATAATCACCTGTTTCCCCCAAAGGCAGACAGTGTGGGTGCCTTATAATTTTACCAGCACCATGAAACAACAGTAGGGAATATTGAAAATAATTCTGATTGAGGGAAGGGAAGATTTCATGGAGGCAATTATACTAGGGTTTTACAGGATGGGTTGAGCTACAATAGACATGAATAAACTAGACGATAAGAAGCTATAGACCAAATAAATCACTGAAATGTAAAATTTTTGGTATTAGCAAGACGGTAGAATTTATCCTTGTATTTTCTTACATCTACTTCTCTGGGCTCCCGAAAGCATACCGTGGAATCTGCTGCCGGAGCCACTTACAATAAAGTTGTCCTGTTTACAGGTTTTTGATAAGCTGTTTTTATTCTTTAATAAATAAGAAAAGAGGCCATTGTCCTTTACAAAATAGCTGAGGTTGTACTTGAACAAAATCTGTTTGGAAATGTTAAGCTGGTTACACAGAACTAATATGTCTCAAGGTGGTCATTCTCTCTGGATTAAAGCTGTGGAACAATTGTGGCTCCTGTTACAAGGAAAATGACAAAGGGCCATTATGAAAAGGGACAAAAATCTCTGTTCCCAGAGGGGGACTGACAAGCTGAAAGTCCCCCTGTACATGCCAACACAAAAGGCTGATTGCCTCGGATTGTTTGTTTATGTAAATCAAAAGGCTGCCATTAATTCTGCAAGTGGGACTGCTGAGCAACAAAGAAGGTGGTGATTGGCCAGATTCTCGCTCATGGGTTGGTGGCAAATCTGACAAATTCTATTACTTTTGTGCTATGCTCTATCTGCACCCCTTCAGGAAAAGAAGTTTGTTATTATGCACTAAAGGAAATCATTTGTGTCCTTAGAGTAAGAGCTGGATTTGAAGGCAAGAGAACTTCTCAAGGATCTTCCCCAAAGCTCTCTCCAAGTCGGACTCAACTGTACATCATGACAGACGTTCCAGTGACATTCAGTCAGGTTGAGTGTAATGGGGATACACCCCCTGAAAACAGTCAACAAAAAATCACTAAAATCATGGAAAAAGCCAGTGATATGGATGGCACCCCACCATACTGCAGGGTAGAATCTAGTCTTGAAGATGAACCCACAAAAGGAAATCAGGAGAAAAGTGAAAAATTACAAGAGAACATACTGCTCAACTCGTCCATGGATGAGAAGATTCTAAAAGGTAAGCATTTTCCTTTTCTATAATTTGCTTGATTTGATTTGTAAACTCACTCAGGAATCTTTGGATGAACTGTTATGACAGGAATAAGCTGCACATTCTCCCACCCTTGCCCCTGCCCAAATGCAGTCCCTTATCCTACGGGGGCTGCAGAGCATAAGGACTAAACCTCTGCCCTGGGTCAAATCCAGGCTCATTTATTTGATAGCTCTGTGACCCTAGACAACCTTCTTGGCTTCCCGAAGCCTTGGTTTTCTCATTAGAAGAAGGTAGAATAATAGTTCTGATATCTGTACAGTTGTGAAAATTACTGTTGGTTAAATGTTAACTACTGTTATTTATTATTATATGGACAGCACCATTATTATTCGGTCAGAAGGAATTCATAAATTCAACTTTTCTTTCTAAATCTACCTGAAAGTGTCTGAATTCGTGGTACTATGAACTTATATAGACATTAAAGGAGAGGTTATCGTTATGCTTATAAATAAAAGGAATCAGTGAAGAAATGAGTTTGAAGAATGAAATAGCTATTTTTAGTGACCACAAAAATCAAAGACCTCTACCTTGTTAGAGTCTTAATTGGTTATTTATTTATCTTAGACTACTTAAATGTTAAAATATTAATCTTGTGGGGGGTTTTCTTCCCAGAAAAACCAGAAGAGAATCTCTATATTGCTCATAAGGCTATCACAGATCTTTCTCTCCAAGAAACAAGTGTTGATGAAATGACATTCAGAGAAGGTAAGAGGAACTTCCATTTTGTACACAGAAATTGTTTGATGGAATGTGGAAGACAGTTTTTGCATGGGATGTTACGTGAGTGTGGTATTGAAAAAGCAATCCAGGTAATGTTTTCAAAAACTCAAAGCTGCTATAGGCAGATAAGGGAGTCTGGATTTATCTGTGGGTTCCACCTGAGAAAGCATTACACACTCTTCAAGACTGAGACTGCATGGATCGGTAAAACTGATCGGCACGCTTTGACCTGATGATATGATATCTGCGTCTTAATAAGTTAGTCTACTAAATAAACCTTTCCTTTTGATTAAGTGTCTTCAAATCTATGTCAGGCGCCCTGCAAGATGTAAACATTTCAAAAATGGGTTTATCTTAAAAGTTTATCATTGGCATACTGTTTAAAATAATCTTATAAATTTATTTGATCTATAGGAAAATTCTAGGCCTCTGCTGTAAGCACAAAATGGTTACCTAATTCTTGTCAAAGAAATCTTCCAGGTGATGAAGTTAGTTTTAATTGTGTTCTTTCGGAAAAATGGGAGAATAAAAAGAACATTGATTTTTAAATGACTATATTATTTTTCAAATAAACTCAAGAGTCTTAGAGACACAAAATCTTTTAGACTTCTAAGGAGACACCTACATTCAAACAATTTCAAAATAAAGTGGAAGATAAAAATCTATCAATTAATCATTGATATCCTCTCTTGCAGCCATAAACATCTTATCTCAAAATTGAAGTCAGCTTGGTACACCTAAGTGATTTAGCTTAGTTAGGACCTTAACAAGTAAAACATTGAAGAGATTACTGGTTGAAATATTAGAACATCACACAAAATAGTAGATGCCTAGGAGGATAAGGTTGTTGGCAGTTTCCTGGGTTTGTCCCCTTTGCCTGGACACGTCTCAGACTGTCTGCTGACTACATATGGTGGTCCACTGTGTAGTCACTCAAAGAAGAATGTAGTAAGCAACAGTCACTGTCAAGCTCTTACGTTATCACAGATAATTTATAAGACCTAAACCCCATGAAATGGACTAAATAACCTCTCACCCTAACCCTTCTACTGCCAATGAGCAAGCAAATACTGAGAGGCAAGGATCTCAACCTTTCAACTAGAACCCCTTTCAAATTTCTGATCAGAAAGTCACTGGAGACAACAGTTTTCTATGATCTTTCATTTCCTTCAAATAAAGAATAAAAGCAGTCTGGATTTTTAAAGTGGATGGTCTCAGGGTGAGTTTTTCCCTGCATGAATCCTTTTGTGTTCGGTGGAACATGTTCCTCCTGTAGGGTTAGAAGGACACATTTTGGTGTTTTTTATTTTCACAATGGCAAACAGCTATAAAGTCCCCAAAGAGAATACTCCTGAGTTGAAAAATAGGGAGATGTTAAAAATACTTAGAAAGAATGATAATTTAAAGTCAAGAAGTAATTTCATGCATGACAACTCCATGCCCAAGTCACGAATATGAGCAAAAATATCAGTTTCTTTGGTTCTTAGGGAAAAGAAGAAAATAAAACAAGGCTTAAAATTATAGCAAACATTCGAATACATATTTATTTACGATGTAAAAAACACTGACTGGATGCCAGTGGCCTGATAGGAGCTGTGCACAGCTAATGAGAGAGAGAGAGATGAACCGCCTCCACTTCTATCTCTTTGTGTAGGTTTACAATCTGATTCCTATAGTTGGGAAAACAAAACGAAAAGAGAATGAAAAATCTCTGATGGAAATGGACTTGTCAACATCTTTCAGTGAAAATAGGAAATTGTGGAGGAGAAGGGCAAAGAGGAACAGTGCCTCTCACTTTATATAAAGACGGTTATGGTGTTGAAAGGGAATAGTGAACACAACCCTGAGTCATGTGCACTGCAGGCTGAAGCTTCCCATAGAAGTCCTTCAGGGCTGAAAGCTCTGAGAACAACCTCTACTCTCCTATTATTAATTCATTTTTTCATGCTCAATAAATATTATTGAGGCTATGCTGATAGGATGTGTTTGAAAAGTGAAACTTGCAATGAATTAAATGAGCCTCTTAAAAGTCAGTGCATGGTACCAAACAACTTAAGTTAATTAACTGTCGGTTAAGGACATGTCGAAAATAATAGGCTAACCTAACACTCTGTAGATATGACCTCAGCATGATTTTTAAATCTGGACTCACTAGAAATTAGTGGCAGATCTTAGGCTATAGAGTGTGTCCTTTCGTGGACTTGATGCGTCCTTTAGCCCAGCACATGACTCTTGGCCATCTGTACTCCTCCTCCATAGCCGGTACTTTAGGACATGAGAACTCTGAGAAGCATGGTGGTAAACACTGAATTTGCTACTCTGAGTGTGACCAGTCACTGGCAGTCATTATTTCATTATTTTTACTGTTGGAAGAAAGCCTTTTTACTAATTTTCCTTGAGGAGTGTGTGTGTGTGTGTGTGTGTGTGTGTGTGTGTGTAGGAGCTAGGTCCAAATATTTTTTAATATATTCACATATCCACTCATGACAGGCTAGACAGGATTTTTAAAAGTGTGTCTCAGGGAATACCAGTATCACTAGACACAGTAGTCCACAACAAAAATGTTCCATAGTCAAATGAGGTTGGGTTGCTGGATGCTAATATCCATTAGTATTTTAAAGGCTTGGATAAATTCGTAAGAGGCTTACTTCATTGTGCTTAATGCAGTGTCTTCCAAGCTAATTTGATGGTGTAGACTGTTTTATTGCGCAAAATGTATTAATAACCCGCAAAACAATATCTCATAAAATGTTTGGTGGAAAACGATTGTCCAGAAATATAATCTGGAGAATCTGTGGTATTTTGAAATCTCTACACATATCAATTGCCAATTGATTTTGCTACAGGACATCAGTGGGAGAAGATTCCTTTGAGCAGCAGTTACCAAGAACCAAGTAGACAAAAGGAAAGGATTGCTGAACAACCTTTAGGAGAGAGAGAAGATGAGGCTCTGAAGAACAAAACTCAACATCAGGCAATGGAAATTGAATGGTTAGGATTTCGGAAACCGAGCCAAGCTGATGTGTTACATTCTAAGCATGATGAGGAGCAAGAGGTTTGGGATGAAGAAATTAATAATGATGATGATGATGATTGCAAAGATGATGAAGATGAAGTTCGAGTGATAGAACTTAAGAAAAAAAATGAAGAGGGTTCTCAGTTAAAAGAGGAAGGCGATGCAGGTGAGGACTCCCCACTGAGCAGCCCCAGTTCCCAACCTGTCACACCTGATGAGCAGCCAACCTTCGGGAAGAAGGGTGATATTTCCAGAAATGCTTATTCAAGATACAATACGATATCCTATCGGAAAATCAGAAAGGGGAACACCAAGCAGAGAATTGATGAATTCGAGTCTATGATGCATTTATAAACTAACTGGAACTGGGAAGTTCTCATGCCCACTGAAGCAAAAGCTAATTCTCTTTTCCTGAGATGCATCTTTGTATGCCTTGAGTCGTCCCCTATAAAGAAGTGGAAGCTTAATCTCTGTTTCACTGCAGAATAATGTGGAAATAACCCTAGGCAAAACTCAGTCTGGTAACCTCAAATCAAAAAGCTTTAGATTCATTCTTGAATATTTGCTTTTTAAATCCTCACTAATATAGCCTGTGTGCTAAGCACTAAACAGTTTGACTTTAAAAGTAGCAATGCTGGGAAATGTAGTCATCAAATGAAAGAGGACTATTTGAAATGAAATGTATTTCTTTTGGTGTCTTTCTTCCTGTACACTGAGGGTGATAGAAAGTCTGGTATCAAATCTCTCTTTCTTTAAAATGTGGTTTTATAGACTCTGGCAATAAACTTTCCAAAATACTTTGCCTTTCCTATTATCTTCAGATTTTAAGTTGTTTTTCTTGGCATGTACAGAGTGAAATTCTGTATAGGCTGCCTTCCTAGGTGTTACCATTCACTGAATTTTCTCACTAGAGGGGCTGAGCAATTGTCAGTCGGGAAAATTCTGTTTACTAAATGTTGGCTTTATGTTCTCAAGATGAATTAAATCCATTGTGAGATTGCCACAGGGAGGGGCTGGAAGATTGGTGGGCAATTGACTAAAGAGTTATATCAGATAGATTATTTCTGAGACTGAAAATAAAATCTTGTCTAGCACAGTTAATGTCATTAAACATGAAAATGACAGCTTTAGCACAATTTTAAGAAAATACCCCTCTCTATTACTACACTTTCTCCTATTAAGAGTATCTCAGAATAATTTTCTTTCCTTAGAAACCTGAGACAACTCTAGTCATAACTGTACTAGTTACTATGAAAATGGAAATAATTATCTTAGAATATTTTCAAAGTAGAGTGTGAGCATGTATTTTTAGTGAGAGAGCTCTGATGGTTGTTGGGAATATATAATTTACTGGACCTCAGCCCAAATCAAGATGCCTAAAATTGTGCTTGTGAAGCTTCACTCAAACCAATGTGTCAAATAATGTATTGAATATTTATGAAAAGGGAGAGTCTATATTTATATTCTTAGATAGTTCCATAATTTTTCATTTCATGCTTCTATATATATTATCCTGAGCTTTCTGTCACCACAGATAAAGACATTTCTTTTGGCCCTAGAAATAAAAAGACAATTCCTTATTGTCTGAATGTAATACAGTCTTCATTGTACTATTCAACCCTTTGTTTATTTATTTTTCATTTTGTGAAAAACCCTGGGTTAGCCCTTCTCAGATTTTTGCTTATTTATGTGTAACAAATCCCACACATTCTAAAGGCACTTTCTTTAATTCTTTATTATCATGTAATATGTTTCCATGGTATCATATACTATTATTTAGTGTTTATGAGACTCAATTTTGAATTTTTTCCTTTTATTCTTTCAAACAGATACTTCACAACCTGACCATATAAAAGTCGGTCACGCTTAATCTATAGAATCTATACATTTCATTCTCGACAATGCAAGTTTTCAGAATAAAGACAGGGAAATCAGTTTTTTATTGAAAAATTTAGGTAGAAGACTGATGCACCAGGACAATTACCTGTTTACTTAGAGCCTCTAAATCTTTTCACTTGGACAAGCTATTTTCTTTTTGGATTACTGGTGACCCCTACTATTTTCTACTTAACTTCAAAGCACAGTATTGTGTTATCCATCATGGAACAGGACCATATTCTTAACCTACCATCAACAGAGCCTGTATTTTGAATTATTCCAGCAGAGGCAGCCAATTCCTGTGGAACTTGAGTGAGGTGGGAGGTCTGTGGTCATTTGATGTGGCCAAGCAACTAGCTCGAATCGGGCTCCAAAATATAGTAACCCTGGCCCTTTTAGTTTTGTGCTCTTACCAGATGATTAACCAACTATGAAAGATTTTATCAACAAGACTATTTCAGGGTGTGTTCAATGAGTAAATATGCTTAATGCTCATGAATGAGGCAATGTAGTTGCAGAAGAGCACTGAAACTATTATTTGGCATTAGTGCCCATTGCCCTATTCTGCCATCTTACACTAAGGCCACAGAGCTTAGTGACTGTAAGTACATAATGGTGATGGGTGGCTGTTTGATTCTTGTAGCCTAAGAAAGACAAGGGTCTGGTTCAAATCTCATGGGGGGATACTGAACATATTTGAAAAGCATATGGGACACCTTAAGAACACAAATCGGTAGCTACACATGAAGGCTTTTACTGCTTTTGTGCTTCAAGGTTCAGGAATGGAAGAAGGACTCTGGTACCTGGTAGGAGGGAGAATTGACTTATTGTGAGAATGTTGATATTTCTTACATGACTTTTTATTTTCCTTAGATGCTGGGTGAACAGGAAGTAATAACAGTTCTATTTCTCTGTCAATATAAAACCTAACCCTTCATATAATGCTACCTTTGAAGACACAGAATATATCAGACTCTATCTATCTACCTATTAACAGTTTAAATAAAGAACTGTGTTTGACTTGCTCTCAATAAAAGTTTGTGTCCTTGTTTTTGGTGCCTAGATTTTATTTTTTTTAAACTGCCTTTTAAAATTTAAAAGAACCCTTGCGTATTAGCAGCTATTGAGACCATCAATAAATACCATTTCAGAAATCAAGAGAACACCTCATTTTAATTCATTTGCATTATTTACTTCAAAAAGGTCTTAAAATACTTTATATGAAATTGTAAAAAGAATTTCTGATGGATAGACATGTAATGTTCATGAGACATTTCTATTATTTTTACAGGAACTGAACTATTGTTTTAGATACATCTCAATTCCAACAACTTAAAAAATATATATATCTTTGTAGTCATTAAGGTAATACATTGCTGTGAACTATGCTGACACTTTTATAGTAATTGTTTCTACATATTTACATGGTGGAGTACTTTTGGCACACTTTCAAATGGAGAACAGACATTTGAGTTTTTCAAAATGATAGGAAAACATTTAAAATAAGTAATAATAGAGAATTATGGAAAAAGATGAAACACCAGCGTATCATGAAGAAATATGTCTGGCCGTATGAGAAAGGCATTATTTCTTTTAAAGCCTAAACTTCCATTCCTCTATAAAAACAAGAGGGCTATAAAAAGTAATGTCAAAAGTTGCAGCAAACATTTGTCCATATTAAAGTATCAGACAGTAACATAATAAATATGAATACCAAAACGTGTACACAGCTCATGAAGAACACAAGGCAAGTAGAATGTACAATTGACATAAACACAATGACGCGGGTAGTAATGAGCAGTGGAAATCACCCAGATACGTGGCAAACTACAAAATCAAAGCGTTTTGTAATTAACTGCCAGCTTGGATGAGTTTTGGTTATGAATTTGGAAAGTAATTGAATTTTTACTTAGAAACTTAAAATTACACATTTTATTCTTTATAGTAAACTTGGTTGGTCAGAGGCAGAAAAACTGGGTACCTAAAAATGTTCAAATTTATTCCAAATTCCCTTCTACTCCATAGTTTCAATCTAGTTTTTCCACTAACAAATATTTTTAGGTAATCAATAACAAATTCACATATTTAACCTTTGCCTTCCCTTGTTTTTATGCCCAGCTCTTATAGCTAATATGTATAAAACTAGCAACATTTGGGCAGTTGTTTGAAGGAGAAGAATTAACGCATGTGCATAAACCTAAACTGAATAACAAGCATCCTGATAATTTAGAGTTTGGTTGCTCCTTTCAGGTCTGGAAAAAAAATACCCAGAGTGAAAGTCTGTGTGAGATACTTTTGTCCAGAAGGCCAGATGCAGATGAAGCTATGCACTTAAGAGAGGCTTAAAAAAAAATCCCAAAACAGTTCTTAATTTTTCTTTGTTAGTTAAAACTCTTGGTTTTACTTTCTCTCAATTCAAAGCATAAAATATAGAAACATACCCATAGCCATATATATATGTTTTAGTTTCAACAGCTAATGTAAAGACTTTGTATAGATATTTATAACCAATATCCTTGAACTGGGAAAACCTATCAATCTCAGTTTTCAAAGAAATTATTTGTTACTTATTTGATGGCAACTGTCGTCATTAGGAACTCAGCATATTAGAAGCTGCTCTATTTGCTGGAAAATGAGATTTTTGTGTTTTTGCGAAGCAAAGATTCACATAAACTTGAAAAGAGACCCTAACTGTAGTGGTAACTATTAGTTGACTCATTAGGTTGAAAACAGAGGCATTAAATCTTAGTGCGATGGTATTTTTTTCCTTTCTTTTAGGCACGGACACCACCAACACCTGAAATTCCACCCATTAAACCTCATCAGGAGTAGATAATACTTTACATGGCTTATTTAAACCTGACCATGGAATGGCTATTTGCCAAAAATGAATATTTTTGTACATTAACTGTGGTTAGTGTTCCTTTTCTCATTTCAAGGCATCTTGGCTTGTAGCAATTGTTGAGTAAACTTATGCAAAGGTTGTTGTAAAAGCATTATGGTGACAATCTACACATTGGAATGAAAGCTACACGACTTGGTTTTTGTTTTAAATTAAAGGACTCCAATTTTTGATTTTCCACCTCTGTTCAAATTGAGCAATTTGTCAGCTTTGATTAATGGTTGGGGAACAAAGAGTTGGTAATATCATTCACAGAGAAGCAATCTCTCTATGTCCACTTCTCCCTCTCATACTTGTTCTAGGAAATGGAAAGGAATATGTCCTGCATGAAGTCAAGGAGATAGACTACTGCGAAGTGTATGAGGATAACTATCCTTAAGCCTACACTTCAGTTGTTTAACAGAGAGGGGCGCAGCCTCTATTTCCTGTCTGTACAACATGCAAGAGAGAGACCAAAGAGGTGTGACTCTATACCAAAGGATTTTAACTGAGCCCACCTGATTTGTCTGTCCTACTTACAGAAGAAATAGAAAGAGGAAAAGAAGGAGGGGGAGGAGAAAAATCAAAGAATCAC